GTTGTTGTTTTGTTGCACATTGGTCTTTCTGTTTCGTTCTAAGGATAAAATATCAACTCTGTCGTTTCTCACGCAAGTTTGTCTTTAATCACAATGACCTCTTATATTCGATTTTCTCAAGACTCAAGCAAACAACGTGAACCGGTCCAATATGACGAGAACAGAAATCCATTAAAGAAGGACCCGTCGATCAGGGGACGTGCTGACTCAACCGAATCACGGACTGATCAAACGCGCTCCATGCCCAGTCGACTAGATCAGCTCATAGAAAGCTGCTCCACAGTCTCTTCCACCACCAAACGTCCTCGCTCTACCTACTCTCATCCGCAACTTGTTGAGTTGGAGAAAGAATTTCACTATGCCAATTACCTATCTCAGAAACGGCGTCTGGAATTGGCCGCTCAAATTGGACTGACCGAGAGACAGATTAAAATTTGGTTTCAAAACAGACGAATGAAACAGAAAAAGGACAATTTGCAGGCGGATCGATTGAGAAACAGGTAAGTTTTGGAATTCCGATTCCCACAAAAACTGTTTTGGACGAGATGAAAATGAATAATGTGTGCATATTTTAGATCAGCTGTTATAAAAACAAACTATATGGGGAATATGCTTTTGATTAGGATACACAAAGTTTGTTAGATTTTATATAATCGAAAATTTTAAAATTTCCTGATGAAAGCATGGTCCAAAAGAATAAACATTAGCTGTTTAATCATTTCACTGATCATTTCGTACAATTCCTGTTATGGTTTAATACTCCCGTGCTATTCCGGAGTAAATGCAATACTTCGGATGGATTCAACTGAAACTCCTACTGCAAGGAGTTTCGTAAATCTAGAAAGCACTTTACAGCCGTTTCGAACTGACTGGGTTTCATCAGTATTGCGAATCCATCGATCCAAATGGGGACCGAACAGATGACCTCATAGACAGAACGGAAGTTTACTACCCAGCCGGCCATCAGGCAGCTGATCAGACGGTTTTTCTGTTTAAACTTGTGCGATATGGCACAACCCATCTTTGCGAGCTTGTTGCAGGCATTGCGCTTCGCTCATCTCAACACTAGCTTCTGGAGTTACGACTCGGTTGGAAACTTTCACCACCTGACTACTCGTTACATGATACTAATGGAGGACTAGACTCAGTTTCGTAGGTTTAATCCGTCGTGACTAGTTTCTAAGCTCTGAACTCATTACGTTGATTTAGTTTGATGATGAAACGTTCGTCGTTAGGAGAGAATAAAGATGAAGGAAAATTTGTCAGAAATTCTTGTTTACTTTTGAATGGGGCACTCTACTAACACTGTTTATAATATCTGACTGCAAGTGCTTCAGGGACCACAATTTGTTCTCCAAAACGGTTTCATTTGATTCCATCCTCACTCATATTTCCGGTTCGTAGTATGAAGTGAGCATCGCGCGAACCACACTTCCGACCAGAAACCAATCGTAATATGTGATTCCCGCTCAAACTGCTGACCAGCGGTCGAGTGTTGTCACCTCATTATTATTCATGTTCTTCATCCCGGTGGTCGTTCCATTCCGCACGGATTACGCTTTCATCTGTCTGGCGCGAAAATGAACCCGATTATCGAACTTATTATTTGCTGTAGATTTGTGTATACATGCAATTTGCCGGTAATTTTCCCCACAAAGCTCATTTTCCTCAGCACGGATATGAACGGTGGAAGTGAAAAATGTTCCCACAAGTCAAACAATTCAGACAGTTTAAGGAACAATGTTTTCCCGTCACAACTCCGAATAAACATGGGTTTGCACAATGTATCCATGATCATTTCACTGCATCTGTACACGTGTTTCAAAGCAACACCAAAAGTAGAAAAAACAATAACTGCTCCCAAAATGAAAGCTTTTTTGAATTTATTACACAAAGACGATAACTTGGTTGAATTAGTCAGCAAGCGGTTGAAACTCCGCCGTAAAGTGTGTCTACCACGCAGTCGACTCGGCCATTTTCTTCACTACAACTCCGATACTATCGACATCGGTGAAAGAACCATTGCCCCCTGCCAAACCAAACTGTAATTACCAATTCAAGTGCGGATGTCCAGCCATCTACAGAGGCAGGACAGAGAGGAAGTTACGTCACCGATTGGCCGAACACATCCCGGTGTGGCTTAGGAAAGCGATGGGCGACAAGTTCAAAACTGTTACGTCATTGAATGAGCAGAAAAGACTAAGATCTTCGATAACATAACACTTATTCGA